GATGTCCTTCACCGTACGTATGTTCTCAGTATCCGCTCTGCCCATAATAACTGTATCATCAGCAAACTGGAGCAACGACACGGACAGACCTTTCTTTCCAATCTCAATCCCATGCAGCATTTCCTCGTTAATAGCTCTCTGAACCAGACCTTGTAGCCCCTCAGCGATCATCAAAAAGAGAAAAGGAGATAGAGGGTCTCCTTGTCTCAAGCCTTTACCCACCTCAAATTCCTTTGTCGGGCTTCCGTTTACCAGAACCGAGATTCTCGCCGTTGAAAGGCATTCCATAATCCAACCTCTCCACTTTAATCCAAATCCAAAACTCTCCATCATCCAATCCAAAAAGGACCAGTCTACGCAATCGTATGCCTTTTCGAAGTCTGCTTTAAAAACAAAAGCTGGCTGTTTCTTTATCTTAATCTCATCCACAACTTCATTCAGCACTAGTACGCTATCCACCAACTGACGACCCCCCACAAAGGCAGATTGCGTATCACTTACTATTTCAGATATCACGGACTTCAATCTATTAGCCAGCACCTTCGCTAATAATTTATATACACATCCTATCAAGCTAATGGGTCTAAAATCCTTAAGTTCTACAGCATTCAACTTTTTAGGGATCATGGCTATAAAAGAAGAATTAAGGCCCCTCACCAATTTACCATTACGATGGAATTCTGAAAAAAAGTTGATGAAGTCCTCCTTTATACAGTGCCACGTATATTTGAGGAAGTTGAAGTTGTAACCATCAGGTCCTGGTGCCTTTGAACCTTCACAGCTTCTTAAGCCTTCCTCAATTTCTTCAACTGAAAATGGTCTTTCCAACCAATCTTTTTTCTCCTCGGATAACTGCTGGAATTTAATGTCCCTGGGTTTGGGTCTATTCCATGACTCTCCTTGGAACAATCTTCTAAAATATCTTACTATCTCATTTTTTACTCCATCTGGATCATCAATCCATGCTCCATCACACATTAATCCCGCAATGTTGTTTTGTGCTCTTCGACCTTTTGCAACTCTATGGAAAAAACGGGTGTTTGCATCTCCCTCCTGCACCCATATACTCCTTGACTTCTGCTTCCATATCAGTTCTTTTTTCCTCAAAACATCCCACATCTCAGAAAAACCTTCTTGCCTTTTCACAATCTCAGCCTCTTTCAGATCAGAAATCTCATTCTGCATATCAACTTGCTCAATCTTTTTTACAGCTTGCTCATATTGAGCTTCCATGTTCCCAAAGACTTCCTTGTTCCAGCTCTTTAAAAAACCTTTTAGCAATTTCAGCTTTTGCTGGCACTTATACCGTGCAAACCCCTCCACCGTCATCCCACTCCATTTATCTTCAACAAACTTCTTAAAATCGGGATGTTGTTGCCATGCATCCAAAACCCGAAAAGGTTTTGGTCCCCAATCTGTTGTTCTGGACTTCAACACAATAGCACAGTGATCAGAGATGTTCCTTGGCAATCCTTGTTGTATCCACTCTCCTTCCGTATTACTCATCTCCGTACTCAATAGGAATCTGTCCAATCTACTCCTTGCTGAGCCATCTGGCTTGTACCATGTATAATTTCTATTTGACAGTTTAACATCCACCAAATCAGTCGTCGCAATAAACTCATCGAAGTCCTTCATGTCTGGGCTCTCTCCTGTTCTACCTCGTCTCTCCTCAGGCCCTCTGACTGCATTAAAGTCTCCTGCTATCAACCAACACCCTTCCTTTTCTGTCACCATTTTTCTCAATTCCTCCCACAACCTAGCCTTTTTCTGTCTATCATTTGGGCCATAGACGTTAATTAAAAAATATTGCCTTTTATTTGCTCCCCATTCCCCTGCCAAACCCACGAACCCATCACCAGAAAAAACCTCCCTCTTAACAAACTGCCTACTATCCCACAGACAAAGTAAACCACCTGAGGCTCCGGAAGAGCCCTTCGCAATCCAATCAACCTCATCTGAATTCCACAGTTGTCTACAGATTCCTATATCCACTTTTTCTAACTTTGTTTCCTGCAGGAATAGAAAATCAGGCTTCTCTTCTTGAACCAGCCTTCTCACTTCCTTCTTTTTCAGTGTCCCACCCAAGCCCCTTACATTAAATGACACAAATTTCATCAATTAATTCTATACACACAAACCCCCATTCATCACTACCGGCTCTACCTCCCTTTCGCGACCCTCCTCTCTGCCCCTTCCCGATCTACTGCCTCAAGCAACTTTGATTGTATCTCCTCCTCATTATTTTCGAAATTAAGACCCAATCTCTTCCCCACCCCCATTATCCGACGCACTTCATGCATATTCATCTCCCTCTGCAACACCCTATTTCTATTTTCAATACATCCATCTGAAATAGAAACAGCCATAGCATCATGTACCTTGTCATCCCCGGTGCTCCTTTTGCCCAGATCTCCTCTCCGTTCCAGACGCTGTTTTGTTCTGGGAGTTACCCCCGGTGCTCCTTTTGCCCAGATCCTCTCCGTGCTCTCTGGGTAGCAGTCTTGAAGCATCCTCTGTTTTTTGTTCCCCTTTGTTGTGTTTGCCGATTTCTGCGTTTCTGATGGGTCCAACTCTATTTGAGCATCTAAAACGGGTTCCTCCAAGTTCATTTCCTTTGTTTGTCCCCAGCCCACTCGTATGGTTGGCCCGCTGTCTTCTATTGGCCCATCATAATTCACTCTTTGAGGCCCAATCTCCTTTAACAGCCCATCGTTTACTTCTCCTTCCAAATCTGTCTCTTGCACTATTTGGAAACAACTCTCTGTTTCCGTTACTAACTTCAAATTTGAATTTGAGGTCAAATCCTTCATTAAATGTTCTGAATCGTTTCCTACATCCTCGCCGACGCCCATCTCATCCATATCCATTTCCGGATCCTCGTTCTGACACCACGAGTTTGAGCAATCGGACTCCGTTTCCAGGTCGCTTCTCCGGCCATTCTCCGTTAACCACCAATCCGGATCAGAGCGCCATTCCTCTTCAGTTATCTCTATTTCATACACTTGCTCACCCACCTTCAGCTTAACTTGAGTAGAGATTTTACTGGACTCTGAGTAAAGGATCAGAACTCTTCCATCCCATAATATTGCTTTCTTCTTTGTGTCCTCGTGCACCAACAGGACTTCTCCGATTGTCTCACCAATCATCTGAAAACACCTCTCTCCCCATGCTTTTAGTGGCACACCCGATATGCGCACCCACTTCAAACGGCTTTCCTCCTCTGGTGCCTTCTCCCATGGAGTTATAGACTCAAACCACATGCTAAATAACTCCTCATTTTGCTTCATATAATTGGCTATGATCCCTGTAATTTTCTCAGTTAAAAGAACCCGTCTTCCCCCAATTGGTGATAACGAGATTAAGCCTCCATCTGCATCCATTTGTTCTTGAATCTCAGGTATCAACGCCATTGACCTCGCCACTGCCACCATGCCACCCTCAAGCCATTTCAGCTCGTCACCCGATGGGGTGTATTCGACAATCTTCTCTGTTTTTTCTGCTTCAGCACTCTTCTCTGTTATTTCTGCTTCCATATTCCCCTGAGCTCTCGTTTTGACATCTTCCGTTTTCGGGATTTCGTTTTTTTCCTTTTCCTGAGCTTGATCTGGAGCCTTATCCTCTCTCCTTCCTTGGCCCTTCACTGCCTGAGCATATGTCTGTCCTGGTATAACCAGCCTATTCATGATGTTTGTTGATCTACTGACTTTAGGCTTACCGTGAACCTTCCTATACGATGAAGGTTTCCTTTGTCTGTCGTTTGCTAGCTTCACTCTCATCTTATATGAGCCTATCCACATCTCATTCAGCCTCCTCTCCATTTGAATCTCATTTTTGACCCCTGTTAGTCGCACAAAACCATACCTCTTCCCTCTCTTATCACGATTCCTCGGAATATACACATCAACGACCTTACCATACATCTGAAAGCTGTTCCATAGAAATTTTGCCTCTAATTCCTCTGGAAAGTTGTAAAAGAAGAAGTTCGAAGACCATCCAGCAACCTGTGAACTGTACTCTGCTACCTTGTTCCTGTACCCTTGTCGCTGTCTGTAACCGCTGTCTTTCCTGGCTGCCGCGCTCCTTGCCATAACCCGAGAGCTCTCCATTCTAATTATTTTTCTCTTAGAAATAATGACTTATAATATTAAAATATTTTTAATAAAATTATTTTTTATACTATTTCATCAAAAGTATTCTAGTCATTTTATATGTTAGATTACACTTTTAATATATATTCTTGTATGTAAAGCAAGAATTCCTTAATTTAATTAATATAATTAAGATTCACATTTATTCCTTTGTGAACACATAACAAATCCTGCTTGAAAATAAAATCTTATGATGAATTTAAATTTCTACAATAAAACATGAAGTACAATTAGATAAAAATAGTTTTAAATATCAAGAATTCGCTTTCCATTCAATAATTTAAATTATATAATTTAGATCACATAACATTTGTTTAAAATTTAAACATATAAAAAATTATTCTTGTGAAAAGGATGACCAAAAAAAAAAATAATATGTTGGGGGTGTTGCTTTATGTAGGTGACATATAGTATCCCTTTTGCTTTGGCATCAATCTATTTCTCGACAACTGGGGGAGGTCAAGGGCTCTCCCTGGGAGTGCTTAACTTGTCCATTGTTATTCCACAGGTAAAGGGTCCATCATATCCAAAAAAAATCATTATGAAAAAGAAGTTTCTGTGTTCGGTATCTTTCATTTTCCCTATATGAGAAAATCACTGCATGTGTGTGTCCGCGCGTGTGGTATATGCATATGACACATGCACTATTAGAGAATGTATTATTACTTGGCTTGTTAATTTGTGTTACGTGTATGCCAGATGTTTGTTTTGGTAATCAGTGGGCCTCTGGATGACGCATTTGGTGGTGGTAACTAGCCAGCCTTCGTGTTAGGTTCGATTGCAGCTGCATTTAGTGCATTGATGGCGATTTTTTTGCTTCCAAAGCCTCCCAAGCAAGTTTCTCTTGCTCCTGGAATGGGTGGTGGGCACTGAGCCAAAGGCTTTCTTCTTCTACTTTGCTTAACTACCTTGCTTTTGGTTTTTGTCTTTAACCACCATGGTCTTTAATCTTCTTTTCCTCTTCTCTTTTACTTTGGCCTTCATAAGGGTTGAATGCACTTCTATGCATTCTCTTTCATATTCTCTATGCTGGAGTTTACCATACATGTATGCATATATATATATATATGGTATTTACTTTATTGATGCATATGATCAATAACTTATTCCAGCTGTTTAACTTAAAATTTCCATTTTTTTCTCTTTTTTGGCCTTTAAAATTGGTCAAGTACCAAGAAAAAAAAAATTAAAAAGAGGGAAATCTTAAATTGATATTTGCTATTTTATTAATTAAAAAAAACAGTTAATTAACTCGGATGAATTGAACTTTAGGAGTTGAACCTGTTCGATTATTAATTAAGTTCAAACTAGCAGTGCAAGTTCAATATACCTTTAATCAGAAAATTAAAATACCACCGAGCCTCAAGGCCATCCAGCTGTAAAAAAGCTCACAATAAATATATAATCACATTGTAATTTAAGAAGGGGAAAATCCTCAAGCATGTCCTCATATTTTTTTCTACTGTTTCGATTGATTCCTTGATTCCTTGTAGTTATCTTTTACTATAAAAAAGGCGCCTCAACTTGCAGAAATCTGTCCAAAGTAGATGGTGAATATGTGCACCATCTTCCATATATTGGTGTGTCGTTTTAATCCATGCTAACATGGATCTTTTCCGTACGTAATGGGATAAGGAGAAAATGTTTATTGGCCGTACTTGTAAAAAAGTTAAGAAAAAATTCTTTAAATTTTGTTATTTTAATAAATTTTTATTAAAAAAATTAAATATCTTAATTTTTAAATCATGCACGAGGCTACTTTAGTATTTTCTTTTAATTTTTTTTTAAAATGACATAATTTTTAGTAATTTTCCGCTTAATTTGTGACAATTCACAAAATCTCACATGAGATATTCTTAGTTTAACAATATTCTTCCATGAATCATCCCATGTAAGACTTGTCACTATGAATGAAAGTGAAAATTTGACATAAAGTTTCAAGTTGAAAGAATAAAGTTGTTAAATTGAAATTATCTCCACTAGACTGTGCAACATGTACCATTTGCATGAAAAATGTGCTTATATGCATATGTACACTTGCACTGAGGAACAGCCTCAGCACATAGACTCATAAAATTGCATTTGACAATTATCACAGCAAAATTAAGCGGAAAAGTTGTAGTTTCAACCAAAGTTGTCAATACTGTGTCGACGTACTTATAGGTTTTGCTACTAAAACGGTACGTACCAGATATTAAAAATTTTTACATATTGTTTTGAATTTATCATGATAAATATATATTTTTATAAATTAAATATTAAATTTGAAAGTAATGCAAAGAGAAACTAATGTTTAAAATCATATATTTCTATAAATTGAAACAAGTTTAAAATGACTAATTTTATAAAATATTCATAAATTTTTTTTTAAATATTAAATGTGCATATATAGATAAACTTAATAAATTTACTAATAAAAGAATTAAAAAATATATTTTTTATAATTAATGGACTAAAAAAATATAAAAAAGTTAAAAGACAAAAATTATGTAAAACATTAAAATTAAGGACCAAAAATGAAATTTTATCCTTTTAAAATTTGAATTGATTTGTATCGGTTGATTTTTCGTATATCTACCTGTACACACCGAAATACTAACGCGCTACATCAAAATTTGATCAAAACAAAATTTAACTATGTATCGTTTTGGATCAATGATAAAACCAGTACGTACCAACCATATCGACGGGCCGACAACTTGGGTTCCAACTACAACGGAAGAAGTTAAGCGAAGAGAATGATGAAGATTGGCACTAATAATCAATGACCTCAGTCATTTCAAGAGCAGCCCGAACCACATCGGCTTCTTCAAGTTCTTGAACGCCGGCACAACTTCACTGAAGAAAGGCATCGCCGACTTTGCGATTTGGGGTCATACTCTATGTCATCCCTGGTGAATCACTTCTCACCGACGGTAGTAATGGCGATGATGACGACGAAAGCGAGGATTATGACGTTGAGACTGGCGCATGCAGTAGACGTCGCAGGCTTTTGTTTCTGTGAAGGGAAAGATTTTCTGGAGCTTTGGGAAAAAACGGGCGGCGTAGCCCAGGACGTTTCCGACCTCCGTAAGGAGGAGAGCCAGGGGTTTACTGTCCCGATCATTCGGTGGTTGTTCGCGGAAAAGTCGCCGAGAAATGCTCGGCATTGGCCTTAAAGCATGCTGTCGGCCTCATAGAGAAACCGGAAGCCCATGATGAAGAAGACCAGACGCCTGGACTTTGTGGGCTTATCCGAGCAATCGCCAGGCGGGTACCCAACATCTCTTTAGCGAAACTGACGAAGAATACGGCCATGGCGATGCAAAAGGCACCGGAGACTGATCACGGTAAACTTTAAATAAAGGAACATAAGGAAAATC